TCATCAAGAAATCAGGGAAATGAAGAGGAGGTATCAGGAAGGTGGAACATCAGCATGATAGCTGATTACTGCTGGTCATTAAAACGAGATGATCCAGACGCAATACATAAAATAAAGACCACAACACGTAGTTTGGAGACTAACAGACGAAGATTTAAAAAAAAAAATCAGGATGAATGAAGATGCATATTTGTTTAGCATCAACGTTCTTCCCTTTTCTTCAGTTTCTTTGTATTTTTGTTAACAAACATAATAATAAATGTTTGTTGTGGTAAACGAAATAATAATTTAATCTAAGTAAGAGTTTTTCTGCTTCCCGATTTATAAAACAAATCCTTACCTGATAGAAAAAAATTAATATTATTTTCTAATTCTGCATAGCTGAATTATAGAAAATCCATTATTGAGACCAAAACAACTTTTATGAAGTTTACATTCACAGGCCTGTTTAATCATAACATCCATAAATTATATAGTTGTCAGGCACTTTAACATCCAACATACAAATGTAACAATGTAATACAATAGTAACATTATTATGATTAACTCATTCCAAAGCATACAAGATCAACAGAAAAAGTTAGCATCAGACAGACAAGAAACTCACAACAAGTTCTGTCAGAAGGTGGTTTTACTGACAGTACTCAGGTTGTTGTTTTTCTTTCTGATATTATTATGATTAGTCTTGTACATACACATGTCAGTTCTGATATTTATAACAGTTTAATCTGTTTCTCTTCTTCACTTTATCAGTTGAATGGCTTTTTTTTCTTGCCTTTGGTCTACTTAATTACGTACATAACTTCCTACAGTATCATGAGAAACTGAGCCAGAGATTTTCACAAGAATGTACGATTATTTTGAAAAACAAATTACTATGAAAACATTCACCTATGTGTAAATAATAATTATTTAAAATTATACAACTAGATATTAATTAATATGAATTTTGTCCTCCATTTTGGCTGCTAATCAGATTCTGTCTGTAGGGAAGTCCTGAATATGATATTTCTGTGTTGCTAGAATTTGATCCTGGGTCTTCTTTAATAAGAATCTGATGTGTTATCCAATCGACTGGTGTCTCCTCCATTTAAAACTTGAATCAACTAACTATATGAATGTTTTAAAAAGGAGTATCCAGATTTTGCAAACTTCTCTGCTAGGTTTATTGAGTGTTTTATCACCTTGGTTGATGGAGGAGGCTTCTTTTATTACCCTTTTTCTGTACTCTCTAATGGGTCCAAGCTTTTCACCGTCATCAATAGTAGATCAAAGTTTACCAAAGGCAAGTTGAGATGAGGTTCAGGTTTCAACACTTCAGATTTATTTGACAATGCATTCAATTACAACAGCACAGTTTTTTTTTTTTTTACAAACATAGGGATTTACAATTTTAATGCAACAATTATCTACAAAAACAACTTTTTCAGTTAACATAAAATTCAGATACTCTTTACTAGAGTTGGGTAATAAGTTTTATCTACTTATTGCATAATCAATATGCTCATTAATCGATCAGCACATGCCCACTACACCTACCCACCCTGTGCCACCTTGTAACTTTTTCAACCACTAAATTATTCTCACATGGTATTAACGTTTTAGTATATTTTCAAGTAATTTTTTATTACCCTTGATTTCATATAAGCCTACTTGGCAACAGAATTGCTAATGTCAACTAAATACCACCATTCTGTTTGTTTTTAAATACAAAGCAATATCACACTGATCTTCTGTAAGTCAAATAGATTGACAATTAATAATGAAAACATGTTTTACTATCACTAATACTGATAATAATGTTTTATTTTAAAACGTGTAACAATTGCAATTAGAAATAACTAAGTAGCCAGTTAGGCAATTTATTTATTTATGATCTTTGAATAGGATAAACATAAAAAATAAATAAATATTTGAGTCATCAGAACATTTTTAGTTATTTATCATACTCACTAAACAGTAAACGTATCCGATTTGATGAAAAGATTTATTTGGTGAATGTCATGTAATGTCACTTGAAATTCTTTTAGGCAAGATTAGAGTAAATTAATCTGAAACTTTTTTCCTTTTTTAATACCTATATTTTTGTGCACCAGCAATGCCAAGCATGAGGTGCACATATAACTGATTCAATTTTATTACTCATCAGGACCTCTACCAGCCTACCCTCAAATTGAAATTCTTTTAGACAGAATTAGAGTAAATTAATCTATGAGACCTTGGGCATGGTAAAATACATCAATTGAAAGGGTTTGACTGGCTGAGTCCAAAATGGCAAGAGATGATGAAGCTATGAGCAAAAAGTTTGTACTTGAAAAAACCTAAGACCTGTTCTAAGAGCCACTATGCCTCAGTTAAAAACTCATATTTACAAACATTGCAACTAAATAAAACTATAGTATAGGTATAAAAACATATCTAAACAAAGAACCAAATACCAACAAAATACCTTTATTAAGCAATAAAAAATCTTCAGTCATGTGGCTTATTTTATACTATATATATCTTCCTATATCTAGGTAAACTTCTTATACCTGATGGCAACAAAACTTTCTATAACATTGAACATTTGTTATTGTAGCCCACGTACATCATTTGACAGTTTCCAGTTAGTGTACAAAGAATTACAGTAATTGAAGCAGCCAACTCTGGGTGATGGATGCTGACACATGCATAATGGATCAGCTTTATAGTAAGATTTGAATTATAAGTATAATTCTGATGGGAATGATCTTAAGAGTGTTATGGAAGAAAAAGGATCTTGGTGTTCTGGTTGATCAGTATTTTGAGCCATCCAAGCAGTGCATTGTTGCTCATGGTAGGGCAAATAGGATTTTAGGTTGTATCTCAAGAAATATTGAATAGAAGTCTAAAGAGGTTATACTTTCATTTTATAACTCACTGGTCAGGGTACATTCAGAGTACTGTGTTCAATCTTAGATTCCTTACCTTAGGAATGACATTGGACTGTTGGAAATGGTTCAGAGGAAGACTACTAAGATGATATCTGGGATAAAAAGGTTGTCATATAAAAGATTAAAATCTCTGAACATTTTTTTTCTTGATAAAAGATGAGTTAAATGGGATCTGTAAGAAGTGTTTCACGTTGTAAAAGGAATTGATCATTTTTATGCACCATCTTTTTTGCATTTAATAGTGAAAATGGAAAGACTACGAGACGTAAATATAAATTTTGGCAGGGTAAGAGTTATCTTTCTAAAAGGGTAGTTGGCTTTTGGAATAAATTGCCTTCAAAAGTGGAACTTAGAAGTAATAAGTTTGAAGGCTTGATAAATATTTAAGAGATAAGAGCTGGCTTTGAGTTTTCTGTCTGTTTATATACACACACAGTGTCCACAATATCCTGATCTGGTATTAAACGTTTATTAGAACTAAACCAAAAGAGCTAGAATTATGCATTTTTTAGCATCTTCTTGCTTAACTAATGAAGTTTTTTCTTGATTTACAGATTGTAACCGGATTGTCCAGTTGCTAATGATTGAAGGTTGAATGAAGATAGCAACTACACAGGAGAAAGCTCAATGTGTGCACTTTATACATATCAGGATGCAATCTCTTATGTAGGACTTTGTGTCCCATTGATCTTGATAGCTGGAGTTTACTTGAAGCACGACAAATACTTTCTAGGGCTGCATCGTAACAGCTCCTGAACATTAGCAGCAGTTTCTTTAAATACACCTGGACGTCCACTTCGAGGCAGGTTCCTGTCTCCTGAAACTTGTGAAACCACCTCCTAATGCTGGGTTTGGAGAGAGGACTCTTGCCATATTGACAGCAGTAATTCTGTTCAACAGTTGTCACTAATATTGACTCTGCAAACCAGATGATACATTGAGCTTTCTCCTGCATAGTCACCATCTTTCTTCAAACTTCAATCATTAGCAACTGGACACTCCAATTACAATCTAAATCAAGAATATTCTCCATTAGTTAATCAACAAGGTACTAAAAACTGCATGATTCTAGCTCTTTTGGTTTTGTTGTAATAAACTTTTAAAACTGGAACAGGACTTTGTGGACATTCTGGGTATCGTTTAGTTGAAAGGATAGAACAGCCTGGATGAACCAACAGATCCCTCATTGTCCTTAAGTGTTATTTTGTGTTAAATTACTGTAATCAGTAAACTGGAAGTATAATCAACTGTTGTATTACTCTTATGTTTAGCAGTGTACTCAAAGACACTTGTCTCAATTGTCCAAATGACCTGTCAACTTGCTATTTTTATGATTTAACAGTAAAACGATTTAATCTTTAAATTATTATAGTCTAACAGTATCACTGCCTATCTGCAGTTGAAGTTATCTTTAAAAGTCAAGTAAATTAATAACTTTTATTCTTTATGTATGTGATTGTGAATGATTTTAGATAATTATGAATTAGAGCATGACTCTTATAAGTATGAGTCAGGCTATGTTGATAAAGTCCAAGTGCTAAGCTATACATGGTCAAATACTGAACCAGTGAAACTGAAATCATTATGATACCAAATATTGAAGTCAAGCAAAGTCATTGTGAAGATTTGAAATGAAATAAATGAATTAACTTACTAAGACTCAAGCATCAACTTAAAAGTTAATAATGTAAACAGTATTATTAATATTATAATTTTCAATTAATGACTGAATTACTTAGCTTGTTGTATTGTAAACTAAAGATGGACTTATAAGCTTAATAAAGTAACTTACTAAGTTAAAAATTTAAGTTTTTAACTTATAGTAGTACTAGAAGTTACTAATAGTACTAGTACTAAGGGTAATACAAATAATTAAATAACACTAATAATAATAGCAACCTACTCAGTTACTGAACTGTCACATTTTGTAAAAATAAGTCAAACATTGGTAAGACAACAACATATTGCAAAATTGTATCATTATGCGATTAACAAGATAAAGTCCATAACAATAAAAAATTAACAAATACACTCCTCTTTAAAGAAAACAACAACAAAACACGAAAAACTTGTTGCTATACTTACACCGTTACTGTTAGTATTACACCTCTAAAGTCTAAGTCTTAAGCCTAACATTAGTGAACTTGCACCACAAAATTTACGGATTAATAATCACAGATGCAAACCTTCCACCAACTCCTCCTCAGTGCCAGTGTCGTCACTTATTCGCAAAAACAGAAATTAAGGGAAAAATACAGCAATATTTTTTTTTTTTACAATTGTTGCTACATTTTCCGTGATTAATTTTCCATGTCTCCCGGTGGGACAGCGGTAAGTTTACGGATTTACAACGCTAAAATCTGGGATTTGAGTTTCCACTGTAGTTTTCTTTACAAAAAACTATATTTTTTAATAAAGTAAAAACGTTTTTACCTTACTAGCTAATTATAATAATGAATTATGGGACATCAAAGAGCTTTTTGGCCCACCTTAAATATCCTCATCCTCACCCTCCCTCAACAAACAGAAAACTAATCACCAAAATACAAACTGATCCCTCAAATACATATATCAAGTTACTGGTTGAGGACTGCAAGCAAATTAAATAATATGTTGGTTGATTACGCCAATGTATTTATGGAGCCAGATGGCCGACTGGGTCGAACAAATACAAGTTGCCATCATATAGATACAGGCACCGCATTCTCGATTAAACAACCCCCGATAAAACTTTTCTGTAGCACTATGTATGTAGCCAGTGACGAACTACAGCGGATATTAATAAAGAACAATATTGTTACGTCTCTTGTCGTTTGTTAATTTCCCGTACAAATTCTTCTCGAGGAACTTTAGCGATACAAGTCTTTTCTTAAATAAAACTAGTTTATTCTTCCTCAATACAACTTTGCAATACACAGAATTTCCACAGTCAATTTAACTTAAACACACGCTATAATTCACAATGATGTGCACACTTTACTTACGGTTTGACTCGATTATCTGTCTATATCTTCAATTTCTCTGTCTGCTATTCCAGTTTCGATTAATTGTCTTGCTTTATCTGGCGCGCTTATATTCAGGAATAGAGGGCGTCTAGCAAATACTGGATTATTCGTGATGTTCCCCGATCCTTCTAGAAACTCATCACGTGCTATCAGCGTCACGTGTCTTCAGCTGTCGTAACACTGCCCCTTCCTTAGTATTGTTCGTCCCGAACAATAGTCACTTAAATTAAACCAATAGATAATTAACAATAACTTAATTAAATCTACAGAATTTACAAACACAAAATTCAAATTCAACAAAGTATCTTAATTTTACGGGATGTATCTTCTTCCGTACTGGTCTCTGTCCCGTTGGCTTCTGCTTCACGTAAAGTTCATCTGCTCCATCAGGAAATGTCCTATTATTGGTAATAGTCACATCAGTGGTAGTAACTTCATCAAGGGCTTCACTGTTTCCCTTCTCAAAACCGAGTAGAGTTTCTTCTTCGACAGTGGCTTTTCCAGGTGACACGTCTTCAGTGGCGTCATTGTTCACTTCATCCCAACTGAAATGTTCTGGACCGTGATCATGCCAAAGCCTGTTGTCATGCACCACCTTTGGCTTACCTCGCCGACCACAATTTATCCGGAAAGTCACGTCTGAGAGACGATCCATTATGTCATATGGGCCTTCCCATGGAGAAGACAACTTAGGAGACTTCCCTTTGGTCTTCCTGGGATTATACAACCACACCTTGTCTCCTGGTACAAAGCTGACTTCAGTAGACTTCTTATCATAACATAGCTTCATTAAATCAGCAGACGTTTTCAAGTTTGAATGCACGTGACGGTGAATATTATCCATCCTTTCCGATAACACTTTCACGAACTCTGACACATTTTCTGGCAACTCTTCATAAGGTGGGCGTCCTGTTAACAGATCCACTGGCAACCAAAGTTCCCGACCAAACATCAACTTTGCTGGAGTGTATCCAGTGGTTTCATGCTCTGCTGTCCTATAGGCCATCAACAGTGGAGGGAGTAAGACATCCCAGTCATCTTGGTAGCTATTACAAACCTTGGCCAATTCCTGTCCAAATGTCCAGTTGTACTTTTTTACCATCCCATCAGACTGTGGGTGAAGTGGCGTTGTCCTGGTCTTTCGTATGCCAAACAACTAGCAGCATTCATGGAACACAGCTGATTCAAAGTTACGGCCTTGATCTGAATGCATACCAAATCTGAAAAATAAATCACTAGTAGCCGAAGCTACAGTTGTAGCTTCCTGATTTGGTATTGCATATGCCCCAGGCCACTTGTTGAAATAATCCATCACCACACAAATGTACTTGTTTCCAGCACGAGGTTGGGGCAAAGGACCAGCAATGTCAACAGATACTCTTTCCATTGGTGCACCAACTTGATATAATTTCATTGGAGCACGTCCCTTATGCTTGGGTCCTTTTTTAGCACAACATGTAATGCATGACCTGCACCATTCTTCCACATCTTGCCTCATACTTATCCAGTAAAACCTCTGTAGTAGGTGACTCAATGTCTTCTTAACTCCGAGATGTCCTCCTGTTAAACTATCATGGGATTGACGCAGCACAACTTCCCGTAACTTTCTCGGTATAACCATTTGCCAGGTCGTCACTTTCTCATCTGCAGTTTCCCATCTCTGGAGAGAATACCATCTTAAAGCTTCAACTGGTCCCATTGTACCCAATAGTTCTTTGTTACTGGGCTTAAGCTGGACACCGTCTCCCAAGCAGGGTGCAAAACACTTGCTTTCAGAAAATCAATTATTGGCTTCAAATCTTGGTCTTTCTCCTGTTCTGCTTTAATATCTATATTTGGTT